GTGTGTGCTGGGATTACAGTTGTGAGCCACCAGTGCCCTGCCCGTCCAGTCGATTTTAAAGTAACTTAGATCATAAAATGATTGTAACCGTTTTCAAATCTTACATTAAAAGTCATAGATCCAGGGGTTATTTTAATTAGACCACTTTAAAAATGTGACATTGTAGAATACGCAGAGGCATCTCATTAAATGCTCCATCCCACGTTGATGTGTTAAACTTGAATTTTTTCTGACTCTCAAGAAGTGTAAGGTATCCCGAGGCAAATATTCACAGCTCAGCTGGGGATTCATAGCCATCTCTTAAATTGATCTCTCAAAAAGGTGCTAATTTAGTTTTTACTTCAAAGAAATGAATTAAAATAAATTATGCCTAATGGACACTTCCCTGTAACCCTCCTGACACAACACTTAAGTTTTGAATATCATTACCTTTGAATACTTTTTATCACCTTTAAGTTGTTGTTCATAAGAGCTGCCATCAGACAGAGCCATTGATGGACACAATGCATCTTGATCCATATCCCCCCTTTCGACATCCTCTCCCCCCCTCCCACCCCTGCCTCAGTCTTCTTCACTTTGGGGAACACACACTGAATTCTTGCCTGCCTTTTCCACTTCTTCTCCTCTCCATCCATCCACCCCTCTCCCCTAACCTCAACCCACCCCCTGTCCAGTCCCTACTTCCTGGGGTTTGATTTTATTGGGCTTTGAATTAGTGGATATTAAAGAATTATACTATATGAGCCAGTCACTGGTGGCTCACAGCTGTCACCCTAGCCACTCAGGAGGCTGAGATCTGAGGATGGCAGTTAAAAGCCAGCCCGGGCAGGAAAGTTCATGAGACTCTTATCTTCAATAAGTCACTCAGAAAACTGGAAGTAGCACTGTGCTCAAGTGGTAGAGCATTTACCTTGAGCTGAAGAGCAGAGGGGACAGCACCCAGGCCCAGAGTTCAAGCCCCAGTAATAAGAAGAGGAATTATCCTATTTGATCTCTCCATAGGGTCTATTATATTTCCACTAATTGGTTTGTAAGTCCATGCTCTTCACCCAGTGTGTTTACTTGTAGAGTTATAGGCACACTCCAGCTCCCGTGAATGAGGGAAAACAATACAATCTGTATCTGACTGCATCTGGTTTACCTCATTTAATAATTTGTAATAATTGTAATATTAGTTAATGATATTAGTAATTATTTCCAAATAGTTCCATTTCCTTATAAATGGTACAGTAGCATTCCTTCTAACAGATAGTTTGGTTTCTCTCTTACTTCCTGAGGCACCCAGTGGTGGTGATTAAGTCTGGATCCTGCCTTCCTTATGGGTGGTTAGCGGCTATGTACTTGTTTTCTCTGATATCTACACACATTAATACTGTTTTACTTTTTTATTGTGATGATAAAGGTGATGTGCAAAAAGGTGACAGGGACATCAGTCAGGACGTGAGTGCATTTCTCTTTGGACCATGTCCCCCATTCCCTTGCTCTCTCCCCCAGTTTTTCCCTTCTGTCCCCACCCAGGAGTAGTAGAGTTTATTCTCCACATGCTGTCCAGTGAGGACCTCAGCTGCTTTGTCCCCTTCTGTACTGTGCCCCCCCCTCTCCCTCCCAGAGACAGAGAAACCCACCCATAAGACAAAAAGAAATCGAAACCACATGGAAGGAAAAGCCCTCCTGTTTCCATTTCCTGGAATCCATTTGGATCAATATTATTTATCATCAGAGGCAGTGAGGCCTTCTTTGTTTGTCTGTCCTGGGGTTTGAACTCAGGGCATGGGTCCTGTCTATGAGCTTCTTTTGCTCAAAGCTAGTGCTCTATCCCTTGCTCTATAGCATCATTTCCAGCTTTTTCTGTGTCTGTCGTACTGAGGAATCGAACCCAGGGCCTTATGCATGCTAGGCGAGCACTCTACCACTGAGCTACCTGCCCAGCCCTTACACATTAACACTGATGGCTGCTTCTGTCTACAGCATCTCCCCGATGACTCTGTGCCCCGTGCTCACGTCGAATTCTACCTTCTGCCCCATCCCAGAAATGATTGGAGGAGGAAAACGAGGAGTGTCCCAAGATGTGCCAACCCTACTTACAACAAGATCATGAGTGAAACCCCGTCCCCATTCTCTTGTTCTATCTTCTTAGTTTAGCCACCCATGGTGATATTATTTTCAATAATGATCAGTATCAGTCCAACAAGGAATGAAAGTTCCTCCTCTCTACAAAAAAAGTAATAATAGTAGTATATTTAGTGTGCTGAGGAAGGTTCTAGACGCTTTGGGAAATGTGAGGATACAGATCTTGTAGCCATAAAACCAGTTTTCAAATTGTGCCTACTACCCAGCAGTAGCTAGACATTTGTGGAGAGAGGAGAGAAATTGTTTATTTTGTTTGTTAGGGTAGCATTATCCCTGGCTCTGGCTTATTTTCCCTCACGTGGTTTTTCCTGTATTTTTTATTTTGATTTTCCTCACCCCGTCTTAAACCTCCCCCCCATCTGCAGATTGTATGCCTGCTCAACTCCTACATATTTTATTGCACCAATGTGTACATTGGAATGCTAAAGTTACATAGATCGGAGGGAACTGTAATCACAGTCTGACTTCCACCCACTGGGGAGGAAATAGCTAAGGAGAAAACACAAATCCCAGACATTCATCCGTCACCCTCGAGTTAGCCTTTAGCGAAGAAGAGGGTGCTTAAGTTCTAGCATGACTCCAGAAATCCAAGGATGGCCTGGAGCTGAAGGATATTTAAATGTATTCCTATTGAACGAAATTACAGTCTCTCTCCATTTGAAGTGGGCAAGTTGTAGAGAATGGGGAAATTCTAAGATGAGATTTCCATTAAATGTGCTCTGATCCCCGAAAAACTTGTGTTTCAGCAACAATACCAACCTGGAAAGATTCCCTCGTTAACCAGGGTAACCCAGAGCACAAGATAAGAGCAGCTAAATTATTTTTGTTGAAAATAATCATCAGCCAGGCGCTGGTAGCTCATGCCTGTCATCATAGCTACTACTTGGGAAGCTGAGATCAGAGGATCCAAGTTCAAAGCCAGCCTGGACAGGAAAGTCCATGAGACTCTTATCTCTAATTCACCACCAAAAAAGCCAAAGTGGAGTTGTGACTCAAGTAGTAGAGCGCCAGCCTTGAGCACAAAAGCTCAGGAACAGAGGCCAGGCCTTGAGTTCAAGTCCCAGGATCTGCACCAAAAAGTAAATAACTAAAGCAATGGTGAAAGATGCATTCAAGGCTGAGTCTGATCCACTCTTGACTTTTTTTCTTTTCTATTCAGATTGTGTATGACAAGGTCACAAAGCTGGTAGGCTGTGTGTTAATGGTTATTGTAAAGAGCAAAGCTGTGTTTGTGGGGAGCGATTAACATCTCCCTCTGCAGTGTTCCGCAGAAAAATGGTACCCACAGGGAAATAGCATCATTTGACCATGGATGTGAAGCTACACATTATTCACTAATTACTTGGGGTTTCGGTTCTTTTTTCCACTTCTGAGTATACATCACAAAGCCAGGTATCGGTGTGTTCCAAAGCCGAATAGGGTATTAGAGGTACAAGAAGACAACTCACGAGTCTTTTGTAATTATTCATTCACCATATTTCTTTATTTGCTTAGAATTGGTTCACATTACACAGAGTGATCACTCGGTAAAATTCAATAAAATGAAAAACAATTGAGTTTTACACGCCATTGTGTGTGTGTGTTTGTGTGTGTATTTGTGTGTGTGTGTATTGCTGTATAAACACATACATATAAATATCCATACATATTACAACCCTTCAAGAATTTTCATTAGCTTTGCCTTCAAAACAGATGCCAAGGGCTGAGCAGGTGGCTCAGTGGTAGAATGCTTGCCTAGCATGCATGAATCCCTCGGTTCGATTCCTTAGTACCACATACACAGAAAAAGCCAGAAGTAAAACTGTGGCTCAAGTGTAGAGTGCAAGCCTTGAGCCAAAGCAGCTCAGGGACAGGGCCCAGGCCCTGAGTTCAAGCCCAGGACTGACACAAAACAACAACATCAACAATAGATGCCAAGCACAATCACTTATCATCATCGACCTGTGGCCTCCTAGATGACCCCTGTTGCCTTCCATATAGGCTCCCCGTTTCTGTATCCTCTCACCATCTATTCTCAAAACAGAGCCTATGAAAACTGTCATTCTACTTAGACCTCTCCTGAGACCTCCAATCACAGCATCAAAACCTGGACCCTCCAAAAAACCTACAACCCCACTGAGGGCTGCACACCCCCTTCCACATGTTTCTGCTGTTTCATTCTTGCTCCCACACACCAGCCATCTCCCTCGGCCTCCACTCCCTCCCCTACCTGCTTCATCTGGGTATCTTTGATCATCCACCTCCTCCTTCCCAAAAATGTCCCTTTGCCTCTTCTGCCCACTTCCCTCACTACTCTGCATCTCTGTCAGACCCTCTCTAGACGTCTCCTGATTCTTCTAGGCCCACCCCTGATTACACTGAGTACTGTTCACACACACACACACACACACACACACACACACACACCACTACAAACACACACCACACTCCACACACACCCACACACACAGAGTGCCCAGGCCCTAAGTTAGAACCCAAGAACTGGCAAATAACAACTAAAACAAACAACAACAACAACAAAAATAATGCATGCCAAGCAAGTTGAAATGCAGCTTCATTCATGTTGCTCCTTCATGTTGCTCCATTTTGTATATGTAAATATGAAGGAAGCTGGTGGGTGTCTGTGGCTGGTGCCTAGCATCCCAGCTACTCAGAAGGCTGAGATTTGAGGATCGTGGTTGAAAGCCAGCCCTGGACAGGAAAGTCTGTGAGACTCCAATGAGCCACCAAAAAAGCCCGAAATGGAGCTGTGGTTCAAGTGGTAGAGAACCAGACTTGAGCACTAAAAAATTATTCAAGGACAGTGCGCAGGCCCTGAGTTCGAGCCCTAGGACTGTGGGTTGAGAAGAAAAAGATACCAGTGGATGAGCTCAACCTTTCTGTTTCCATGTATGATTCTTTCTGTTCCCTGACTCAAAGCAGGGGGAGAAACAACACGGAAAGGACATGAGTCCAGCTGTTTTATTGGTGTGCAGAGGCAACAGGTGACATGTGCCATTCTCCTCGCGAATGTACCACATGTACACAAAGAGTGAAGAAGGTTCCAGACTCTCACCTGTTCTGAAGAACAGAGGAACCAGGTGATAACCTGCAAGAGCACCTGAGCACACCCTCCCCATGCCCCAAACTGCTGAGAACGTGGGTGCCTCTGATGCTCTTGCATTCCAAATCGTGTCATAGAGCTGGGCAGCTGGGGCTCCCACTGTCATCCCAGTGACTCAAGAGGCTGAGATCTGAGGATCACGGTTCAACACCAGCCCAGGCAGGAAAGTCCCTGAGACTGTGATCTCCAAAGAACCACCAGAAAACCAGAAGTGCTGCTGTGGCTCAAGGGTTACAGTGCCAGCCTTGAGTGAAAGAGCTCAGGGACAGTGCCCAGACCCTGAGTTCAAGACCCAGGACAAGCTTAAAAAGAAGAAGAGAAGGGAGGAGAGGAGATTAGAGGCATGGAGAGGAGAAGAGAGGATGAAGAGAAGGAAAATAGAAGAAAGCAAGAAAGAAAGAGGGAGGGAGAAAGGAAAGAAAAAAGAGATTGGGAGGGAAGGAAAGGAAGGCGGAAGGGAAGGAGGAAGGGAGGAAGAGTGAGAGGGAAGGAAGGAAGGAATGAATGAACGAATGAACGAAAGAAGAAGGAAGGTAAAAAGAGAAAGAGCGAAGGTGGAGGAAGGAAGAAAGGAAGAGGAAGGAAGGAAGAAGGAAGGGAAAAAGGGAAAGAAGAACGAAAGAAAGAAAGGAAGGAAGGAAGAAAGAAAGAGAGAGAGAGAAAGAAAGAGAGAGAGAGAGAAAGAAAGAAAGTAAGAGAAAGAAAGAAAGAAAGAGAAAGGAAGGAGGGAAGGAAGGGAGGGATGGAGGGAGGGAGGGAGGGGAGGCGATCACATAGAGATGTGAGCACTGGAAGGTACTAAGTGAACCCCTGAGGAAGGTGACTGTACTATGACTGCAGCTAGGATAGGAGTCAGGCAATGGTGGCCTCCACCCACAGTCAGGATCCAGGATTTCCCGAGTGGGAATGCGCTTGGCAGCTGGGGAGAGCCGGTACGATGGAAGGGGCCATGGCACTGCGCACAGGATAGTCATGAGACTCACTCCTCACCCCCTGTGAGGCCCTCACCTTTGTTGATGCACAGGACTAGCAAGGTGTACTGCCCCCAAAACTCATTCCCCACTCTCAGGCCCGGGGCCTCCACCACGAAGCAGATCAATGTTAACGCCAGCACTTGTGTAATAAAGGTGAAGTTTTCGTTCCATTTGAGGGAGAAAGTTGAATGACAAAAGACACGGGCATACAGTTACAGATAGATAGATAGATAGATAGATAGATAGATAGGTACTTAGATAGATAGATAGATACATTCATGCATACACACACACATACATACATACATACATACATACAAATGAAAAAACACACATACACAGGGACATACACACATGCATACACACACACACACACACACACACACACACATATATACATAAAGAAGACATCATTGCTAGTGAACATTGAATACTCAAAGCTCACCCCTAATCTCTAGCCCTGTCTTTTAACACTTCGACAAACAGTTCCTGGTGACAAACAGCTCCTGGTGTAGAAACTTCCATTTTCAATGGACAGGCATGGATGGCTCACATCTATAATCCTGGCTTTGATTTAAAACTTATTCACAAAGAGCTTGGTGGCTCCCAGCCTGTCATCCCAACTACTCAGGAGGCTGAGATCTAGAGAATCATGGTTCAAAGACAGCCTGGGCAGGAAATTATGTAAGACTCTGATCTCCAATGAACCACCAGCAAACCAGAAGTGGTGCTGTGGTTCAAGTGGTAGAGCACCAGCTTTTGAGTAAAAGAGCTCAGGGACAGAGCCCAGTCCCTGAGTTCAAGCCCCAGGACCAACACACACACACACACACACACACACACACACACACACACAGCATCTAATAATCAAGCTTTCCATCGAGCCCGGTGAAATTCCAGGAGGTAAGTGAAGATATTCACCATTTTTCCTAATGACACGAATCTGCTGTTTGATGTGGACGTTGGGAACGCCATATACTTCGATAATCACCAGCATGTCAGCCTTGCTGGTGGGTGAGCTGCTGAGAGGTAGCTGGATTCCACTGATGACCAGCATAAAGTGGAGAACCAGAACATTCCAAGGGACATTAACCTGCACCACAACTGCCTTCCCATATAGAAATGCTGCAAGGCTAGGAGTGGTAGCTCCTGCCTGTAATCCCTGTTACTTGAGAGGTGGAGGTAGGGGGATTTGGGATTGATGACTGTCCAAGCAAAGAGAGACAGAGAGACAGAGAGATAGAGACAGAGGCAGAGGCTCTATTGCAGAACAGGGTATGGTGGCACACAGTTGAAATCTCAGCCATACCAGAGGCACAGATAGGAGTCTCCCTGACTGAGGCCTGCCTTGAGCAGACACACAAAACTATATCTGAAAAATAACAAAAGCCAAATTACACAGAAGTGTCTTGAGTGGTTTGCAAATGGCTGGGGAAAGCACTCGATCCTGAGTTCAAAAGCAGAGTACTGCAGAAAATAATTAATTTAATTTAATTTAAAAATACTACCAAGAAATTGTTGATGGATTCCAGCTCAGTGCCTACCCAATAATAATAGCTGGAAAATTGTATTTAAGGTTTACGTTTGAGGAAGTGGCACTTTAGCTCAAGTAGTAGAGCACCAGCCTTGAGCTGAAGAGCTGAGGTACAGTGCCCAGACCCTGAATTCAAGCCCCACAACCGACAAGAAAGAAAGAACGGAAGGAAGAAAGAAAGAAAGAAAGAAAGAAAGAAAGAAAGAAAGAAAGAAAGAAAGAAAGAAAGAAAGAAAGAAAGAAAGAAAGAAAGAAAGAAAGAAAAGGAGAGAAAGAGAGAAAGGGAGGAAGGGAAGAAGGGAGGGAGGGAGGGAGGGAGGAAGGTAGAGAGGGAGGGAGGAAGGAAAGAAGGAAGGAAAGAAGGATGGAAGGAAGGAAGGAAGGAAGGAAGGAAGGAAGGAAGGAAGGGAGAGAGGGAGGGAGGAAGGAAGGAAGGAAGGAAGCAAGGAAGGAAAAGCCAATTGGGAGAACTTAAGGGCCGATTGGATGCAGGAGGGGAGAGGAGGGGAAGAAGGTGACAATGGCCCCCATTTCTCTCCTTTGATCTGAGTGGATGAATGCTAGGATCATCGCTGACTCATAAAGTATCAAAGTAGATTTAGATTAGCAAGTTATGCGCTGGCTTTAAAATTAAGTTAGACAGATGATGAAGGATGGAGGGATGTGACATAGACTATTAAAATAAAACAAACAAACAAAGACGGGCACCAGTGGCTCACACCTGTCATCCTAGCTACTCGAGGGTGAGATCTGAGGATAGCAGTTCAAAGCCAGCCCAGGCAGGAAAGTCCATGAGCCTCTTATCTCCAATAAACCACTAGAAAACCGGAAGTGGTGCTGTGGCTCAAGCGGTAGAGCACTCATCTTGAGCTGAAGAATGAACAGACAGCACCCAAGCACAGAGTTCAAGCCCCACAACTGAACAAAAAAATAAAAAATAAAAATAAAGTCAGGCTTTTGGAAGCTAAAAATAAGGTCAAGAGAAAGATGACAGTCTCAGCGGGGGTTAAACATGATCTTTGTGCAAAGAAGCACAGGAGAATATGTATTTGGAAATACAAACTAGATTTTTTAAAAAAACACAGTTTTCAGCAATGTATTTGAGAAGCAGGGAGAAAAAGAAAATGGAACCTACTAATGAAAACCAGAGAGCACAGACTAGAACCCGTGAAGCAGAAAGAACATGTTAGGATGCCCTAGGTCTGCTCTTTTTAAAATGTGAAAAAGAGCCAGGTGCCTGTGGCTCACGCCTGTCACCCCAGCTACTTGGTAGGCTGAATCTGAGGATCGCTTTTCAAAACTAGCCCCGCGTGGGAAAATTCCATGAGAATTCTCTATCTCCAATGAACCACCCAGATGTTGAACATGGAGATGTGGCTCAAGTGGTAGAACAACAGCGTTGAGTAAAAGAGCTCAGGGACAATGCCCAGGCCCTGAGTTCAAGATCCAGGACCATTGCACACCGTGCACGCCTCCGCACACACACACACAAACGTAAATGAGAAGAGAAAACACCGTCATGTCATAAAATGCACTTGTTGGTCAATACTTTGCCAGATCTCGGAGCATTCACCAATCCATGTTTGACATGTCTGCCACTTTAAGACAATTTCTTTTCACCCAGGACACGTCACTTGTTTCTGTCTGCACAATCCTTAACAACCAAGAGCAAAATGAACCCCACCGTTCAGTGTCCTGCCAAGTGACCAGTGTCTTTTCCACTCAAGGCCATCCTTCTCTGTGATCCTTCTGTCCCACAGGCTTTTCTGGAAGGTGGCTTCCTTTCCCTCCCATCTCCTAGAATATCAAGATCTCTGGAGTTGAATACATGTAGAAGATAGGAGTTGAAATGTACAAGATAAAGGCCTGCTTCAGGGACCTGGCATTGTGTGCACTCTGAAAACCAGAAAATGAGGAACAGAGGGGACTGCAAACCACAAAGCCCACAGAACCCAAGCCCAAGAACTCACATGTGAACACAAGCAGCCTGTCCAGAGACAGCCATACAGAGAAAGGCTCAGATGATCTTAACACAAGCTCGTGGAATAGAAATGTAGACGAAACCAAGCAGAGCTGCCTGTTTTTTACAGAATGGAAACAAATCTGATCTAAATAGTGCAACTCATCATTGACAGAGAGAGAGAAAGAGAGAGAGAGAGAGAGAGAGAGTAAGAAATGATCTTTTTCCCCAAAATATTCAATGACATTTTCCAAAGCGAAGATGTATCACACTTAAGTTTTAAGACAAGAAGAAAGCCTTTGGAAAGAAAGCCTTCCTAATAGAAACAAGAGCCTTCAGGAAGTGCTTGCTATGAAATGATGCAGGATGTAAATTTCTTTTAAGGCACAAAATATGAGAGACAAAATATTTAACAAGAATGTGGGAATAGGTCAGAAATTGAGAGGGAGCCCAGATCGGCAATCCCAGCTTCTTGAGAGGAGTCAGAGATGGAAGGATTGAAGTCTGAAGCCAGCATCTGGGTTGAAAAATAAAGTTAATGAGATTTCCCCCCCCCCCCCTCTCACAGACACACACACACACACACTCACCAAGCCAGGCATAGTAACACACGTCTATAAGCCCAGCTACAGAAAGGTTGTAGGTAGGATGATCATTGTCCAAGATTGTCACTGAAAAACATATAAATACATAAATAAAGCACAAGGCCCCATCTGAAAAATATCTAATGCATAAAGGATTGGGATGGAGGAATGGTTGGGAGGAATGATTCAAATGATAGAGCACCTACCCAGAATGTTAAATATTCCAGGATCATCAAAAAGTAAATTCAGCTGGGAGTCAGTGGCTCATGCTTGTCATCCCGTCTACTCAGGAGGCTAAGATCTGAGGATCGCGGTTCAAAGCCAGCCCCCACAGGAAAGTCCATAAGACTCTGATTTCCCATTAACCACCAGAAAACTGCAAGTGGAGCTGTGGTTCAAGTGGTAGAGCGCCAGCCTTGAGCTGAAGAGCTGAGGGACAGCACCCAGGCCCAGAGTTTAAGCCCCATGACTGACTAAAAATAAAAACAAAAAAAGTAATTTCAATCCACATGGCAGAGGGAAACATAGCAATTGACAAAGCAACAGCAACTTGGAAAATGAACATCTCCATTAAGATCAAGAAAGGCCCCCACATAGATTTTGAATCATCAATTTAGAGAAAAACATTCAAGCGCTCCAAAAACCTAGAGCAACGCAGAAACAAGATTACTGCAAATTATTAGATGCTCAGGACAGAATCAAAGCAAAGCAATAAATATATATACATATATATGTATATATACACACATATATATAAATCTATTACACACGCCCTTTCTAAGCAATCAAATAATGTTCATAGACACAAGGAGAGAGAAGAGAGGTCCTGGATCTCAAAAGCCTAATGCTGGCAATTAATGAAAACAAAATTGCTCCTTGAGGTTCCTAGTAAAACCCTTTAAATTGAAGGAAGGAAAGGAACCGTAGCCACAAAATCACTAATAGGTTGAACTTAGACCTCGCTATTGAAATACAAAATGGTAACACACAATCCAGTAGTATAAATATATCTTTGAGAGAAGAAAAAAAAAATGTTGTAACCTCAAAATTTCCATTCGCCAAATGGAAATAATTCTTTTTAAAAAATAATGCAACAGGACCTTTTTTTTTTAATTTCAGCTATGGAATGCTGTGAAAATATCACCCATGTGCAATGTCTGAAAAAGATTTTAACAAATGTAAAAGACATAGAAGCAAACCAAGCCAGGCACTGCTGGCTCACATCTGTAATCCCAGCTACTCAGGATGCTGAGCCTGGAGGATCATGGTTCAAAGCCAGCCTACGCAGGGAAGTCCATGAGACTCTGATCTCCAATGAACCACCAAAAAAAACAGAAGTGGAGCTGTGGCTCAAATGGTAGAACACCAGCCTTGAATGAAAGAGCTCTGGGACAGTGCCCAGGCCCTGAGTTCAAGTCCCATGATTGACCAAAAAAAAAAATCGATAGAATTCAAAATATTCATGTACACTAATTTAAAATGATAACCAAACAAAGAAAAAAGGTAAAACCTCATTCCTCTTACCGTTATTGAAAGTGTGATCAACTCACAGTCGGTTGCATTCATTGGGTTAAAGTCTGCTTTATGAGCTCTGAGGAAGAATGGCTTAAGAAGATACCCAGAGCCACCCTTATCCAGAAAGTTCCCTTTTTTCAAGTCCATGGGCAGACCCAGTGCCTGGAAATTCAGGGCCACTGTGAGAAAATAGGGAGCATGAGGCGGTCACCAAAGAGGGCAGGAAATCTACCGAACCCCAGCCCTACCCTCTGTCTCCACGTTTTTATTGTTTATTTTTTTTAATTGTGATGACAAAGGTGATGTGCAGAAGGGTGACAGTGACATCAGTCAGGTCGTGAGCACATTTCTCAGTGGACCACATCCCCCCTTCCCTCGATCTCTCCTCCAGGTTTTCCCTCCAGTCCCCACTCATGAGTGGTCGAGTTCATTCTCCACATAGTGTCCAGTGAGGACTACGGCTGCCTTGGTTCCCTGTCCGTCCCCCCATTTCTGTGCTGCCCTCACCTTCCCAGAGACAGAGAAACCCACTCACAAAACAAGGAAAAGAAAACAGAAACCACATAGAAGAATAAAACATCTGTTCCTATGGCCTGGAATCCATTCCAGTAAATATTATTTTCTATGATGAGAAGCATGTAGACACTGCACCTTGGTGCTCCTCTCCTCTGAGAGTCCTCCTGTGGGCTCATTGTGTGAGTCCTCACGGGTCTCACTGTGTTAGTCCTCATGGGTTTCAAGAGCAGCCTTCACCACCCTGATAATTCATGAGTTCTAAACATCAGCCTCACAATCAATCCACATTTGTAGGTGATGAATCAGTAGCAGACACTTGATCTGTAAACTAAGTGATTATAGAGCTTTAAGCAAGGAAATCAAAAGGACATGTAGTATGGAATACAGAAGAATGACACACAACCCAATAGATAGATAGCTGGATGAAAGAAAGAAAGAAAGAAAGAAAGAAAGAAAGAAAGAAAGAAAGAAAGAAAGAAAGAAAGAAAGAAAGAAAGAAAGAAGAAAGAAAGAAAGAAAGAAAGAAAGAAAGAAAGAAAGAAAGAAAGAAAGAAAGAAAGAAAAGAAAGAAAGAAAGATACCTACCTACCTACATACATACATACATAGACGAATAGGTAGGTGGATGTATAGACAGACAGACAGACAGATAAATAAATAGGTAGATAGATAGATAGATAGATAGATAGATAGATAGATAGATAGATAGATAGATAGATAGATAGATAGATATACGGAGGGATGGATGGACAGACGGATGGACGGACGACCAGACAGATGGGCAGACAGATACATACATAGATAGATAGAAGATAGATGAATAGATAGATGGATAAATGATAGATAATAGTTAAGATAGATAATAGATTAGATAGATAATAGATTAGAAAGAAAGATAATAGAACAGACAGACAGAGAGACAGACAGACAGACAGAGACAGACAGACAGACAGATAGATAAATAGATAGATGACAGATAATTACATCTCTCTATCTGTCATACACAAAACATAGAAGCCAGGTATCAGTAAGCTCACACCTGTAGTCCTAGCTGCTCAGGAGGTAGATCTGAGGTTGAAGGATCAAGGTTTGAAGCCATCCCAAGCAGGAAAATCTGTGAGAATTATTTCCAATTAACCACAAAAAAACATAGCCAGAAGTGGAGGTATGGCTCAAGTGGTAGAGCACTAACCTTGAGCAATAAAGACTCAGAAATAACACCCAGGCCCTGAGTTCAAAACCCATACTGGCACTTTAAGAGAATGGGGGGGGGGGAGAAAGCAAGAGCGAGTGAGCAAGAGAGAGAGAGAGAGAGAGAGAGAGAGAGAGAGAGAATGTAAAGCAAACCAGCCAAGAACTGGCTCAATTATTACTCAACACAGATCCAATAACCAAGCCCTGCATCCTACTTGACTTCCAAAATGGCAGACTTTGAAGTTCACCCAATGTATCACTGTAGAGGTAACTGAGGGTGAAGCCTCTATCTCTCAAGCAAAGGAGACCAATGTCCATTCTGGTCTCCTACTCCTTTCTTCCAGAACCTCTGGCCCATGCCAACTGCTCATGCCTCAACTCATGCCCCAAGATTCATCCTCTCTACCTCCTTTAGCAACCACTTCAAAACTTAAAGTCAGTGGGTCTCCATTGTGTTTGTGTGTGTGTGTGTGTGTGTGTGTGTGTGTGAGAGAGAGAGAGAGAGAGAGAGAGAGAGAGGGAGAGAGAGAGTGTGTGTGTCCTGGGTCTTGCACTCAGGGCCTGGGCGCTGTCCCTGATCTATTTTATTCAACGCTAATGTTCTACCACTTGAGCCACAGCTTCACTTTTAGCTCTTGGCTGAGTAATTGGAGATAAAAGTTCTCACAGATTTTCCTGACCTAGATGGCTTTGAACCACAATCCTCCCCATCACAGCCTCCTGAGTAGCTGGAATGACAGGCGTTAGTCACTGGTGCCCAGCAACGGTTCCTTCAATGGACAAAACATTTTTACAGTAAGGATTTTTTTTGTTTATGCAAATTTTCATGGGTTCCCAAATTCATTCATTTCAAATTGTTCATTCAAACAATTCAATAACATACTCACTTGATAACCCATATTCCCAAATTCTTGAGGATTAAAATTAGAAGAATCTTCTCTTATCACCTTGCGATAGAGTCTGGTAAATAACTTCCTGGTGTGAAAAATAAATTCCTGGACTACAATAAAACAAAGAGGGAAAAAAGGGCAAACATGGAGAGAGATTTTAAATTAAATGAACTACTGTTTCTGCATTTGATAGACTTCTACAATCATTTCAATCATGCTGATGTGTATTATCTTTGCAACAAAAAAACAAACAAGATTTGTAAATCTTGAAAATGAAAACAAACACAATGTCTTTATATTCAGGGTAAAAATTCACAATTGATTTAAAACATACTTTAGGGGCTGGGCAGGTGGCTCATTGGTAGAGTGCTTGCCTAGCATGCATGAAGCCCTGGATTCAATTCCTCAGTACCACATACACAGAAAAAGCTGGAATTGGTGCTGTGGCTCAAGTGGTAGAGTGCTAGCCTTGAGCTAAAGAAGCTCAGGAACAGCAGGCAGGCCCGGAGATAAAGCCCCAGGACTGGCAAAAACAAAAAACAAACAAACCAAAAAAACCCATACTTTTGTTATGCAAACATATACACTGATAATTAACTTGGAAAATATTTTCTATGTTCTCCTTCATATCCAAATTAATTTCACTTCAATATGAAAACATTCAAAATTCCAAAATAAAATGCACTCATTTCCAAAAACTCAAATCAAATCAAAAACCAAACTGACCTCTTTCCCCATTTTGTTTTTAACTTTCACCTTAGCGCCAAAAATCACTGGAAACCAAAGGGAGCAAGCTGAGTCTAGGTAAATCAAGATGATTGGACGGTTCACAGGTTGGAATCAATCCTATTAGACCTTTCACAGATTGGAATTAATCTCAGTGGACATTTTGCTACCCAACATTTTCAGGTAAAGATTTAGATCCTTCCAACCCCAGCATCTTCTCTCCAAACACAACCTTCCTTTGAAGCGTATCTCTCAATATTTTTTTTAATTTTTATTTTTTCATTGTGAAAATACTGTACAGAGGGGTTACAATTACATGGGCAAGATAATGAGTACATTTCTTATCAAGCATTGTAGCCTCCTCCTTTGTTTACCCTTCACATCCCTTCCTCCCACACCCCACCCAATCCTCCCCCCCCACCAAAGTTGTAAAGTTCGTTTTCAACATGACAACTTGTACTTCTCATTGCTGCAACAGGTCCACCTTTATCCTTCTTTAAACAACTTGTTTTCCCCTTCCCCTCCACAAATTATACCGACATCAAATACAGTGAAAGCAGGGGTTATACTGTGGGGGAGGAACATACAAAGCAACAAAGAAATACTCTTATAAATGCGTTAGAAACAAATGTGTGAAAGAAAAAAAAACCACTTAAATATTACACAATGGAATTCTATGCCTCCATCAGAAAGAATGACATTGCCCCATTTGTTAGGAAATGGAAAGACTTGGAAAAAATTATATTAATTGAAGTAAGCCAAGAAACATAGGTCCCATGGTTTCCCTTATTTGCAATATCTAGTATATGTATGAGTCAAGCCAAAAAGGTCAGATAAGATGATTAGGAAAATGAACCCTAAGATATGTATTTAAATGTTTTTTTTTTCTTTCTCTGGATATTTTTAATTATCTCGAATACCTTCCTCAATGAGATGACTTTGTGTTCACAGTAATTCACATATGTGTACAAATTCATGTATGTGTGATCTGACTATATGCATTCTTCACATTTCTACTTATTTGCCCTCTAAAGTACTTGAAATTCGAAATTAATTAACCCTCTCCCTTCGTTAGTTGATATTTAATGAAAGTTTTCAAGGTAGATTTTATGTTGGCTGGAGATTTGTTTTTTTGCTCTTTCATTAAACAGATCCACTCTATTTTATTATTTTATTTAATTTTTGTCAGTCTTGGGCCTTGAATTCATGACCTGGGCTCTGTTTCAGATCTCCCATTTACTCAAGGCCCATGCTCTACCACTTGAGCCACAGCTCCACATCTGGCTTTTTCTGTGATTCATTGAAGATAAGAGTCCCCACAGACTTTCCTGCCTGGGCTGGCTTTAAACCTCAATCCTCAGATCTTGGCCTCCTTAGTAACTTGGATGGCAGGCGTGAGCCACTGGTGCCCACCTTCCATTTTCTCCTTTCTTTAATTTTGTTTCACTTATTTTTGCTTTGCTTTGTTTTGCTCATTTATTTATTTTGCTAGCGCTGGGTTTTGAATCCAGAGAATCTTTCCTGCTGCTCTGGTGCTCTCCCACTTGTACCACACCTCCAGTCTTCCACCCATGGTCTCTAATACAATACACAATCACAGCAGAAATGCTTACTAAGTGCCAATTCTTCTCTAATGAAAATAAACTGGGTTCATCTCCTCTTCCACCCTAAACACAAATTCTTTTGGTAGTAATAGCAAATTTCCTACAACTACACTTCACCAGTGCTTCTTTTCGGAAAGGTACATGAAGTAACATGATTATTTCCAATTCTCCTTTGTGTAGAATTATCATCTTCCTTTCTATGGTGCTAAGGGACAATCTATCTTTAGGCCAAAAACCATACTGTTCTGAGCCTTCACATTTCTTATCTAAAGAGTAACATCTGGGCATTCCCTAAGACTTTAGGCCCTAATACCATAGTTATGATTTTCTCACGACCAACCAATGAAATTACACACGATCCCTTACTGCAAATGTAGTTCACCAGGCCTTGGTTTGAGAAACGTTGGGGAAACCAAATGAAAGGAGAAGAATTTTCTGTTTTTCAAAGCACCTATAATCACATGACTCAGTTAAGAACCGTTCTTCCCATGATGGCTGTGTCCATTTTTTCCTATCTATATGCTAATTTGGGAGGAAGAGAAACACAATTCATATTTTGATTCCTTCTTTACCACATACTATTTGGCTTTCACTGAAATACAATGGCAGGGCATATATCAAATGGTTTGAATGATATATGCAACAGGTGACTGTTGTAAGCTTTGACCAGCATCACTGATGATGTACTGTTAGCTTTGGGTGTCATAAAAAATGCTTTCTACTCTCCAAAAGACTGTAGGGCTTGTATTCTCTAGCTATAACAGCCCTACATGGGCCTTTTTTTTCAAAAGGGAGGCTGAGTAGATTCTACTTTCAGGAGGCTCAAAGGGCTATTCTTCATCACCCACAAAATCTACTCCAGAAATCTAAGGGATGTAGGCCAGTTGCTAAAGCTGGTCAGTCAAATTCCCTTGGTCATACTGTAGAGTAAGAAAGATATACAGCCTCACCAGACACCCGTAGCACACGCTTGTAATCCCAGATTGCTCAAAAGGCTGAGAGCTGAGGATCAAGTCAACCCAGGAAGAAAAGTCTGTGAGACTCTTATCTTCAATGAACCGGCACAAAGCTGGATGTGGAGGTGGTGTGGCTCAAGTGGTAGAGCACCAATATTGAGGGACAAAGCTAAGCAAGAGCAAATAGGACCTGAGTGAACACACACTGGGACTTGAGCTCAAGGCCTGGGCACCATCCTTGAGCTTTTTCACTTCAATCTAGCACTTTATCACTTTAGGCACAGTGCCACTTCTGGCTTCCATTGGAGAACAGAGTCTCATGGACTTCCCTACTCAGGCTGGCGTTGAACCGTGATCCTCCGAGCTCAGCCTTAAAGATGGCCTCTCAAGACAGCAGCCATCTGCTGCAGTTTGAGGCAATCTCCTCTTGCTTTAAAAAAAAAAGAAGAATGAATGACCAAGTCCAAGTGTCTTGCTCCTGGTGTAACTATACCTTACAGTCCTCTTTCTCCTTCCTCTCTCCAACTGCTCACCACCACCATCCCCACCACAGGGTGCCCATTTAATGCCATCTGTCAAAATGCCATGACTTGAGGCCGAATCAGAGGCCCAGTCAGGAGGATTGCAAATGGAGGCTAGCCAGAACTGCCTCAACAAATTTAAAAAAGGGAGTGATCATTAAGGACATATCCATCCTTCTCCAAGTTATTCTCAGTAAGCTGAAATCTCATGAGATGGGTATTATACCCATTCATAGCTCTTTCTGTTATATCTTAATAACTTAGCATATGCTGGAACTGACAGAAACTCACCCGTGCTCCGTTCCAAGCTTGCAAGAACCTTTACCTCTCAGCTTGGAAAGCCTCCTCGCTTGGGACTTACTCAGGGAGCTGCCTTCATTTAACTGCTGGTACAGCCTTGCATAGTGGAAGCTTGGAACCTCTCTGATTTGGTATAAATGGTGAGATCAGCTCAAGGCCAGCCTTGAACAAAAGAAGTTAAGGGACAGGACCCAGGCCCTGAGTTCAAGACCTAGGACTGGCTAAATAAATAAATAAATATTATATATAACATATAATTATATAATATGCAATCACATGTTAGAATAATTGAGAATTGGTATTCTACACCAGGCCTCCCACACAACAGCTCTACTAGCGATCAACTAGAGTCGAAAAACTACTTAGAAACAGCTACCCTAGGAAATAGTCATTTGACTATTACTCTGTCAATATGTTTTTCTTTAAGATGAGTTTTGGTGATCGATTAGGGCTTTAATAAGAAAGAAAAAGTTTCTACTTCCTCAGATTAAAAAAAGATGAGTTTGGTGGTAAATTTGGGCTTTCATAAGAAGGAAGGATATTCCAGTGTCTCAGTAGTCCCAGCTCTCCAAAATAAGTCAGAAAAATCTCCCTGGCTTTGGCAAGTTCGACACCAATCACCTCATCTTCTTTTTCTTGAAAAAGCTGGAAGTGAAGGTCTTCAGGAGCTCAGACTCCTTTTCCTGAGGCTCTTGTCTTTCCGCGTCCTTCACTTCCTTCTCTTCTTCCTCTTGATCTCCCACTTCCTCTTCATACTCTTCCACCTTTCCGTGTTTGTCTGAACCTTTCCGTGTTTGTCTGAACCTTTCCGTGTTTGTCTGAACCTTTCCTTGCCCAAGTCTCCATTAGCATTCCAATTTTCTTGTTCTTAATTAATATCTTGAATTTCTTTTTTTAAAATGATATTATAATATTTTTGGGGTTTTTTGGGGTCCGGTTGTGGGGCCTGACCTCTGGGCCGGGGCGCTGTCCCTTAGCTCTTCAGCTCAAGGCTAGCACTCTACCACTTGAGCCACAGCTCCACTTCTGGCTTTTTTTATTTTTTCTGCTTATGATTTCAAGGCCTGGAAGGAAAAACGGACAGAGAGCTTTCACTTCCACCAGGACGAGTGAGTTTGAATGGAACAGACATCAACGTTCTCTTCTAGTATCCCTTGAATTTATTTATTTGTTATTTTTATTTTTACTTTTTGTGAACTACAATTACAGGGCAAGATAATGAGTATATTTCTTATCAAGCATTGCAGCCACCTCCTTTCTTTAACCTTCACATCCCTTCCCAGCCTCCCCCCAGTTCTTCACCCCCCCCCCCCCAACCAAAGTTGTAAAGTTTGCTTTCGACATGTCAACTTGTACTTCGCATTGTTTCAACGGGTCCACCTGTCTCCTTAACGACTTGTTTTCCCCATCTCCTCCACAAATTATACCGACATCAAATATAGTGAAAACAGGGGTTATACTGTGGGGGAGGGACATACAAAGCAACAAAGAAATCATCTTATAAATGCGTTAGAAACAAATGCATGAAAGAAAAAAAAACAGTTAAATACATATCTAAGGGTTCTTTTTCCTAACATCACATTATCTGACCTTTTCTGCTTGACTCAAACGTATACTAGATATTGCAAATAAGGGAAACCATGGAACCTATATTTCTTTGGGCTTGGCTTACTTCACTTAATATAATTTCTTTCTATTTCCTACCAAAAGGGGCAATGTCATTCTTTCGGATGGAGGCATAGAATTCCATTGTGTATATATATACCACATTTTCTTGATCATTCATGTACTGAGGGGCACCTGGGTTGGTTCCATATCTTAGCTATGGTAAATAATGCTGCAATAAACATAGTTGTGCTGGTAGCTTTAGGGTGGTCTTGTTTGTAAACATTTGAGTAAATGCCCAAAAGTGGATTGCTGGGTCATAGGGGAGCTCTTTTCACGAACCTCCATACTGATTTCCAAAGTGATTGAACAAGTTTACACTCCCACCAACAATTAAGTAAGGTTCCCTTCTGTCCACATCCCCTCCAGCATCTGTTGTTATTAGAGTTCTTGATTTTTGCCATTCTAACTGGGGTGAGGTGGTATCTCAATGTTCTTTTGATTTGCATTTCTTTTATGGCTAGGGAGGTTGAGCATTTCTTCATGTGTCTATTGGCCATCATTCTTTCTTCTTCAGAGAAGTTTCTCTTTAATTCTTTAGCCCACTTATTTATTGGGCAGTTGTATCTTTGAGGATTTGTTGTTGGGGGATTTAATTTTTTGAGTTCCAAGAATATTTTAGATAGGAGACCCTTGTCCATTGTATGGCTAGTGAAGATTTTCTCCCAAACTATGGGTTTTCTATTGAGCTTGCTAACTATGTATTTTGCCATGCAGAAGCCCTGCAACTTCATGCAATCCCATTTGTCCAACCTTTCTTTGATTTGTTGTGTTTCCGGGTCTCTATTAAGAAATTTCGGCCTGTGCCTAAGGTTTCTCCTATTCCATCCTGTAATGTTTTCAGAGTGTCTGCTTTGACTCCAAGGTTTTTCATCCAATTGGAGTTGATTCTGGTGCAGGGTGTTATATAAGGATCTAGCTTTAGTTTTCTACAAGTAGTTAACCAATTTTGCCAGCACCATTTACTGAAGGGGCTGTCTTTCTTCCATTCTATTATTTTAGCTCCCTTATCGAAGATTAGTTGATTATAGTTCTGTAGGTTCATTTCTGGGTTTTCAATTCTATTCCATTGGTCCTGAGGTCTGTTCTTATGCCAGTACCAAGCTGTTTTGATTACTATGGCTTTATAGTAGAGTTTGAAATTTGTTATTGATATTCCTCCAGCAGTGTTCTTTCCATTGAAGAGTGTTTTTGCTATTCGGGGTCTTTTATTGTTCCATATGAATTTATGGATTGCCTCTTTTATTTCCTTGAAGAATGAGGTTGGAATTTTGATAGGTATTTCATTGAATTTGTAGATAGCCTTGGGAAGTACTGCCATTTTCACGATGTTAATCTTTCCAATCCAGGAGCATGGGAGATTTTGCCATTTTCTAAGTTCTGTTTTGATTTCCTTTTTCAAGATTTTAAAGTTTCCCTTGAATTTATTTTTGCCAGGCATCGGTGCCTCACACCTTTCATCCCAGCTACTCAGGAGACTGAGATCTGAGGATTGTGGTTCAAAGCCTGCCTGGGGCAGGAAAGTTCAAGAGGCTCTGATCTCCAATGAACCACTCTAAAAGCTGGAAATGGTGCTGTCCCTCAAGTGGTAGAGCGCCAGCCTTGAGTGAAAGAGCTCAATTACAGCACCCAGGCTCTAAGTTCAAGACCCAGGACACACACACACACACACACACACACACACACACACACACACACACGCAAATTAATTAATTTAAAATAAAAGTTATTTTTTATGGTTAAGCAGTTGTACAAAGGGGTTTTGCTCCAACGATGAAGAGCACAATGCATCTTGAGCCACACTCCCCTTCTCTCCTTCCCTCTTTCTCAACCCCTCTTACCCATCCCCTACAGTCCCAAGGGACTCCAAGTTCATCTGTGGGCAGGAAATACAAAGGCTGAATTCTCCCTCCCTTCCTCTCTCCACCCACCCTTGCTCTTTTTACCCTTTGCTGTGTCCTCATTCCACCCTTAGCTATACACAACCCAACTTCTTGGTATTCATTTTGATCAACTGTAAGTTAGTTGTTGGAAGGACTTACACCTACATTTCAGTGAACATGTGTGTGTATGTGTGCACCTGTATATGTTTATAAATTGTCTCTAACTTCTAGAGCAAACCTGACCAGTGGAATTCAAACATCTCTACAATGCCTCATTCCAAATAATACCTAAATAATCAATCAAGAAATGCTAAGCATTGGTCTTTTTTCTTTTTCTTTTTTCTTTTTTGTTTTTTTGCCTGTCCTGGTTCTTGAATTCAGGCTCTAGGCCTGGGCACTTCTTTTGTTCAAGGCTGGTGCTCTACCACTTTAGCCATGGCTTCATTTCTGGCTTTTTTTGTGTCTATGGTACTAAGGAATCAAACCCAGGGCTTTATGTGCTTGCAGGGTGAGCACTCTACCACTGTGTCACCTTCCCAGACCCCTGCATTGGTCTTTAACCATGTGTCATAGACTTCAATTATAGTGATATATTTGTGGGTTCTCTTCCCCCCCTTTCCTTCCCTCTGTCTCTCTCCCCTTCCTCTCTCTCCCCCCTCTCTCCCACTCTCTCTCTCTTTCTGAGCCTTTCAAACCACAGATCAACTACCTCAGGAGATGGCAGGGAGTCTGGGAATTCATCCAGCATGTCAAAAAGTAGCGTGTCCCCAAGTGTGTTCTGCAAGATATTGGCCAATATTTCTTGCTGATTAGGGGGAGTAGTGATTTTCTAGTGACAGCACCACAGGGTAATAGGATGTCTGCGAGGAAATAACCAGTTGGCTCATTATCCAAATTTTAAAGTAATTTCATCTAATTCATAGAAGCATTTTATTTATCTATTTACTTACTTATTTGTCGGTGGAACTTGAACTCAGGGCCTGGGTGCTGTCCCTGAGCTCTTTCACTCAAGGTTGGTGTGCTACCACTTGAGCCACAGCTCCAATTGTGGTTTTCTGGTGATTCATTGGAGATCAGAGTCTCACAGTCTTTCCTGCCTGAGCTGGCCTTGAACGACAATCCTCTAGATCTCAGCCTCCTGAGTAGTTGGGATGACAGACATGAGCCACTGGCTCCCAGAAAGCATTGCATCTTAACAACACTTCTGACTCTCACTACCTTGGCCACATAACAATTTTTTAAACTGGATAATGTGTATGTGTGTGTGTGTAAAACGGGGCCTGATTTAATATGTGCATTAGGAAAAAGTAGTCCTATTTTCACTGAAACTCCAAAAAAATTTGAAGCGCTATCAGTGAATGCTTGGCTTATTACATTATGTCATGTACATATATAAAGAAATAATATAAATCTGTTAATAAGACAAACGGATGGATGGACAGACAGACAGACAGATGATAGACAGACAGATAGAGTCTGGTGCCAATGGCTCACCCCTGTCATCCAGCTCCTCAGGAGGCCAAGATCTGAGGATCATGATTCAAAGCCAGCACAGGTAAAAAAGCCCATGAGACTCTGATCTCTCATGAATCACCAGCAAACTGGACATGGCACTGTGGCTCAAGTGGTAGTGTGCCAGCCTTGAGCTGAAGAGCTTAGGGACAGTGCCCAGGCTCTGAGTTCAACACCCAGGACTGGCAAATAAAACCAAAAAACATCACCACCACTGCCACCACCACGACGACCACCATCATCATCATCATCCCTGATTGGGTTTCTTGCCATCCGAGTGGATCAGTTCACGTGCAGTCCACCCTGCTGAAGTTCACCGCCATGCCAGGTCACCTACCATGAAGTCATACTTGTTGATGGCCTGGATCATGGTCTTGAACAGCAGCTTGCTTGAACAGTTGTCTTGAACAGTGGAGCTGTGGTAGACAATGGGCTCATTCTGGGCTCCATCCCAGCAGTCAATCTGAAGACACCGGCAGCCCTTCACCAGAGAAGTGGGGAGAGGCACAATACCATCTGCCATCCAACCGCAACAACCGCTACCCCAGGCCTGTGTCTTTCTAGGCCAAGAGTTCAATGCTAGTACTCTTTCAGGGTCATGGACAGGCAGGAAACGATCACTAAACTAGCTGGCTTAAGTACAACAGCATTCAAAGAAGATAATGGCCACCTACCCTGGAGATTTAGAGGTTAGGAGGATCACAGTGTGAGGCCAGCCTGGGTGAAAAAAAATGTTTACAAGTTAATGAGACACCATCTCAAGAAATAAAGTGGGTGTGGTGGAAAGTGCCTGGAATCCCGGCTACAAAGGCAGAGGACTGGGCTCTCAGGCTGTGGTCCAGGCCAGAAATAGCAGACCCTATGTAATTCAAAGGCAAAGGATAGAGAAAGGCAGAGACAGAGAAAAAGAGAGAGGAAAGAGAGAGACAGAGACAGAGGCAAAGAGGCAGAGTGAAATGAGAGACTGTTGTAGCCATCCAAGAATAAAATAAACTAGCCCAGTTTTATCTGCTTCTTCCTTGGATCTTTAGGAACGTAGAAAATACAGTATAAAAGGGTTAAAGGAGAGTAAAATTGAGCCAGGTGCCAGTGTTCATGCCTGTCATTCTGACTATTCGGGAGGCTGAGATCTGAGGACCACAGCACCAAAGTCCATGAGACCCTCATTTCCAGGGAACCACTAAAAAAAACCCAGAAATGGTGCTGTGGCTCAACAGGTTTTGGCCTGTTGAATGGCTCCTATTGTCTTCTTCCAAAGGCTGAATTATGTGCAGACTAGTCTGATCAGTATCAAAGATTGAGATTTTCTCTACTGATAGGTGAAGGTCAACTTTCCCACCCCTCGGTAAGCAGTTAGGAAGTCGTGGCAGTACACACATTTTTCCCTTGGTTTCAGAGTTGTACTCTATCTGCTACTGTCTGTGGTAAGTAGGATGAAGATTTCCACTCCTTGTTGATTCTTGATGGTGGTAAATAGAATCTACTCCTAGAGTCCTTCTGTTGCCTTTTTCCTGGGCTCTCTTTGTTGATATTTTGGCAGTGGTAGGAGCTGCCACCACCACCACACTGCAACTACTCAAATCTGGATATGAGCACTTGGATATTTCATCTCTGCACAAACTCTATGTACCATGATGACACACTCAGTGTGACTCTCTAGACTTGGATTTTTCACTAGAAACCTAAACCTGGTTTCTTTTTTTTTTTTTTTTATAGTTTCAACTTTTTTTTTTTTTTAAATTTTATTTTATTTTATTTGAGAACATACTGTACAGAGGGGTTACAATTACATGGGCAGGATAATGCATACATTTCTTACCAAGCATTGCATCCTCCTCCTTTGTTTACCCTTCACCTCCCTTCCCAGCCTCCCCCCTCCCTCCCACCCAATCATACCCCCCCTCCCCCCCCCCACCGACATTGTAAAGCTGGTTTTGACATGACATTTTGTACTTCTCATTGTTGCAACAGGTCCACCTGAATCCTTAAACGACTTGTTTGTCCCCGTCTCCTCCACAAGTTATACTGACATCAAATATAGTGAAAGCAGGGGTTACACTGTGGGGGAGGGACACACAAAGCAACAAAGAAATAATCTTATAAATGCATTAGAAACACATGCATGAAAGAAACAAAAACATTAAAATACATATTTGAGGTTTTGTTTTCCTAACATCACATTATCTGACTTTTTCTGCTTGACTCATACCTATACTAGATATTGCAAATAAGGGAAACCATGGGACCTATGTTTCTTTGGGCCTGGCTTACTTCACTTAATATAATTTTTTCCAAGCCTTTCCATTTCCTAACAAATGGGGCAATGTCATTCTTTCTGATGGAGGCATAGAGTTCCATTGTGTATATATACCACATCTTCTTGATCCATTCATCTACTGAGGGGCATCTGGGTTGGTTCCATGTCTTAGCTATGGTAAATAATGCTGCAATAAACATAGTTGTGCTGGTAGCTTTAGTGTGGCCTTGTTTGTGATCATTTGGGTAAATGCCCAAAAGTGGGATTGCTGGGTCGTTGGGGAGCTCTATGTGGAGTCTTTTGAGGAACCTCCATACTGCTTTCCAAAGTGGTTGAACAAGTTTACATTCCCACCAACAATGAAGTAAGGTTCCTTTCTGTCCACATCCCCTCCAGCATCTGTTGTTGTTAGAGTTCTTGATTTTTGCTGTTCTAACTGGAGTGAGGTGATATCTCAATGTTGTTTTGATTTGCATTTCTTTTATGGCTAGGGATGTTGAGCATTTCTTCATGTGTCTATTGGCCATCCTTCTTTCTTCTTCAGAGAAGCTTCTCTTTAAGTCTTTTGCCCACTTACTTATTGGGCAGTTGTTTCTTTGAGGATTTGTTGTTGGGTGGTTTAATTTTTTGAGTTCCAAGTATATTTTAGATATGAGACCCTTGTCCGTTGTATGGCTAGTAAAGATCTTCTCCCAGTCCGTGGGCTTTCTATTGATCTTGCTAGCTATGTCATTTGCCCTGCAGAAGCTCTGCAACCTTATACAATCCCATTTGTCCAGCCTTTCTTTGATTTGTTGTGTTTCCGGGTCTCTATTCAGAAAATTTCGGCCTGAGCCAAGGAGACCCAGGGTTTCTCCTATTCCATCCTGTAATGTTTTCAGAGTGTCTGCTTTGAGTTCAAGGTCTTTGATCCATTTGGAGTTGATTCTGGTGCAGGGTGATATATAAGGATCTAGCTTTAGTTTTCTACATGTAGTTAACCAGTTTTGCCAGCACCATTTACTGAAGAGGCTATCTGTCTTCCATTCTATTGTTTTAGCTCCCTTATCGAAGATTAGATGGCTATAGGTCTGTAGGTTCATTTCTGGGTTTTCAATTCTATTCCATTGGTCCTGAGGTCTGTTCTTATGCCAATACCAAGCTGTTTTGATTACTATGGCTTTATAGTAGAGTTTGAAATTTGGTATTAATATTCCTCCAGCAGTATTCTTTCCGTTGAGGAGCGTTTTTGCTATTCGGGGTCTTTTATTGTTCCATATGAATTTTTGGATTGCCTCTTCTATTTCCTTGAAGAATGAGGGTGGAATTTTGATAGGTATTGCGTTGAATTTGTAGATAGCCTTGGGCAGTATTGCCATTTTCACGATGTTAATCTTTCCAATCCAGGAGCATGGGAGGTTTTGCCATTTTTTAAGTTCTGTGTTGATTTCCTTTTTCAAGATTTTAAAGTTTTCATCATAGAGGTCCTTCACTTCTTTAGTTAAGTTAATTCCTAGGTATTTTATTTTTTGTGAGGCTATTACAAATGGAGTTGCTTTCCTAATTTCAGCCACACTTTTCTCATTGTTGGCATACAGAAAAGCCATTGATTTTTGGGGGTTAATTTTATAACCTGCTACTTTGCCAAAGTTTTGAATCAGCTTGAGTAATTTGGGAGTCTAAACCTGGTTTCTAAAAGCTGGTTTCTATGCGAGAGCTTGTTAATCCCCAGCTATTCATCTACCATCTTCCTCCAGACCTCTAATTTTATTATTTTTCTTCTCACTTTTCAAACCAGAATGTATTTGACAACAATTTTTTTTTTCTGGCACTAATAAGTCATTGTAGATATCAACTAACATGAGACAAACAAATGTTATTTCAGTTTAATTGCTCTTTACTTTTCTGCATGAATCAATGCAATTCCAGCCTTTACCCAAGAAAAAAGATGATAATTCTTTAACTCAGTGTGTTTGATTTAGCATTTAGGAAGTACCAATGACTAATATCCAATTACATAGTCTATACATCGATTCAAATTTTCAGTATATTCTCATTTTAGAACTTAAGCGAGCAAATAACTTTCAATGGAAAAATTGTTATATATGATAAACCTATCTCTACCATATATTGAGTTATCAGATATTTGTACACAATGGTCAGTTTTTATTGAGCATTTATTTGAAAGGAGCAATCGCATAAACCTTAACAGAGGAGATAGGAACATGATTTTGTAACTTACTACTTGAGTTACACTTGAAGTGTTAAAACTTGCCTCAAGAAACGTATTAGTAGATCCTGTTGAGATATACTTACTGTATATAAAATTACTACCTCCCCAAATATAACCATCATGCAATTTTCTTGAAGATTGTAAGATCATTCATTCTGACATATGTTCATGTATTTTTATATCATTTCTTTATATATTTTCTTTCCTGTATGTAGGATGAATAATAATGAAAACAAGAAATTTCATTCAAATATATTTGGTTCGAAACCAATTGACTAAAAGGACACAAATTTTTTTTGCCTGATTGATAGTAGTTTGAGATAATGAATTCTACTGTGTAAAAACAGGCATGAATTTGAATCGAAAGACACACTTAATAGTTCAAATTCTACCTTCAAATATTCTTTGTTATGCTTATTTTCAGATGAGAGTTATCATGACCAATACTTGAGATTTCCACCCATAGCAACAAAAGGATGAAGAAGGAATGGAAATTGCCAACAAACAAGATACATGAAATATGAAGAAGAAAGGGTGTAAAGGAAAGCTCTTTTTCTATTTCTTTCACACAGAAATGGGAACCATAAATATTTGACATCGGTTTAAGATCAGTGTAATGACAGGTTTTTAAAATTCCTTCTTCATGATAATTTTAGAAGCATGTTTTTGATCATTCTTTCTACCCAGTGTCAAAGACAAATTCCGATCTTCTAATGTACAAGAAGGAAAAATGCTAAGAACTCTATTACCAGCACATTTTGAAAGTACTGATCTGCCATAAGCACTTCCCAATCCATTCCCAATTAATCAATTTTACAAATGAGGGAAATCATTAATACTTGTTTTATTTTCCCATAAAGTTTTTCATTGCTCATACATACCAGTGTTATGCATATCTTTTTTTTCTGAAAATGCAATTTATTTCTAGCCTGTATTGCATGTGAAGGAATAATACACTGCAAACATTCAGGCTGCTATATATACTGGTTGATAAGGAAAATTTATGAATATCTAACTTGTGAAAGAAGGTTGGGAAGTATAATTAGAGTATAAG